CCTATGACTCCGCCCCTATTCATTGGGGCGGAGTCATATATAAGCAACTGCACCTGGCTGAAGAGCGCGCGGAGCACCTCTGCCCGTTTTAAAACTGGAAGAAAATGGGAAGTTCAAAGTTGATGCTGCACTGTATGGTGCATATTAGTAACTTTTATGATGTTAATGAGGATATTATTGCACTAAAGTACTAATTTAAAAGTATTTATGCGCGCGCGCGTGTATGTGTGCATATATGTATATATATTATATATATACATACAGAAATGTGTACATACATACATACATATACAGTATACACCACACAAATATATATATTTAAACATATGTATACACACATGCATATATATATATATATATATATATATATATATATATATATATATATATATATATATATATATATATGCATTATCTATATATATATATATATATTATATATATATATATTATATAATAATATATATATATATTATATATATTCGTATTAATAGGGCTACGCTTAGAAGAGCGAGGTTCAGGTTATCTTTCGTATGTGTACATTTTATGCGATATGTCTTATTATGGCTTATTACTGTTTTTCTTACATCATTATGCTTAATCTTGGGCAATATTCAGGCCTCCAACAGTGTTCCATGACGAATAATATACGGGGAAGTATCTCATGTTTTATTTATAGAATGTGTTCCAATGGTTAAAAGATTATGAATATTTATATTAGGTTTTACATCATCATTTTACTTATTATGTATGTATAATTGAATATGCAGACGTAAACTTATTAATCCATGTGAATGTAGTTGATATCAGTCAATAATAAATAGTGTCATTTTCAAAATATTTAAAGAAGTGTGACCTTCGAAACCATTGTCGATGGACGAATGAAAAAGTATGATGGGAGGCGCTTAGGGCCCGCGCATTTTCAACTGATTTCGATAATTTTCCGTCGTTTGATTTGTAATTTGAAGATGTTGATAACTAACAATTTGTATTTATCGTTATTTTCTAATGTTACATCAATAAACCAGTGATTTGTTAATTGATACAATTCAAAAACAAAATCAGATTCGTCAACTCGAGTACAATTCCTAAGAATGGGGGTGGAGCCGCACCTGTGGCAACAGGGAAGTGTCACAAATGAAAAAAACGACACGTTCTAGTGTAGTTAGACAGTTTCTTGAACGACACTTTCTAGTGTAGTTAGACAGTTTCTTGGCACCGGAAAAAGGCCTAAAATAAGCGCTAGGTAGGCCTGACAGACAGGCCTATCATCAGGCACCAATCAACAAAACATGATTAGGAACATGCCATTTTTTACTTTCTCGAGAACGCTATCATCAACTGATGTCTGATCCAATATGGATTGATGTACATGGCGATGTACAGTTGTATTACTACAAAGATGTAGGGTAGATACACCCAAAAAAGCACAAAACAAAAGAAATACCCATGCACCGCCACGGGTGCAGACAAGAGATTGCTCAGCCTACGGAAATTTTGTACAATATAGAAGCGGGACCATAAAAAAAAAAAATATTTAGAAAATCACTATTCATTCAATCTCTTCGGGTCACGAGGCCACTCCATGTCTGGCTGGTATGGCACATCTTCCACAACATCCACAGCGTCGGGCTCTTGCATGTACGGTCCAACAACCATCAACCCTTGATATTCCTCTTCTTCCAACTCTTCGAAGACGTAGGTACCCTGTGAAGAACTTATACCAATGTGTCGGAATAATCCGATGAAGCCACTGCCGGCGTAGTCTTGTAGTGAGTCCCATGTACAATGTATTGAATGCGGAGAATACTGTGATCGTGTTCCGGAATTGACGTCACACATCCGGGTTCCGGATTTCGCGGGAAAAATATAACGAAATCGGAATAAATCAATAAATTCTCAATTTTGGGAATTATTTTCAGATTTCCCATTTTTATTAATATTAAAGAGAGATTTTATGAGATATTTTTTCCTTATTTAAAATTTTCAGTTGATACTTCACATAAGCCCTTTAAAACCTCATGGTTGGTATCAGGAATTATCGCATTCAGGAACTGTCCACGTCATTATTGCCTTCCTAGACAGCTTTGGAAAGAGGTACCATCTGTATATGGTAAGCAGTACATTGCGCTTATCTGTCGAGGCGAAAATATAGATTAAAGGAATTAATAAGCATAGCAAGATAAAGTCCTACATAATGTATATATATATATATATATATATATATATATATATATATATATATATATTATATATATACATATTTCTACGCCAAACTAGCATCTGTGTCAGACAGGTGTCCCCGGCGTGATATTCGTATTGTTCTGGGTGACTTCAATGCAGTATCTAGCTGTGATCGAGCTGGCTATGAGATGTCTGTCGGTCCCCATGGTTCAGGAACTGATACCAGTAGTGAGAATAGCCTCCTTTTTCCGGGACTTTGCTAGGTCACAGAAATTGAGGATTTCTGGTTCCTGGTACCAGCACCCAGACCCAGATT